GGAGAACTCCTGGAACAAGACACACATTGCAAGAAGAATGGCAAAAATTTTCTAATACTGTTTTAATGAACCTGATTAAAAGTATGCCTCGAAGAATCGAAGCATGCATAGCAAATAATGGCTGGCCAACAAAATATTAACTATTTGTGATAGATTTATGAATAGTTAGACTAATAGTCATTAAAATTTCAGCCTCGTTTATTATGTATAATTTCGAGTAATTAATAAAGTTAGAGGGTCCGATACTTTTGTCCGGGTAGTGTATATACAGCAAAACAATTTAAGCATTAGCGCGTTATTAATGAGGGACTGCAAAGCCTTAAAAAGCCCATCATTATTATATGCAAAAGCAAGAAACAAGCCGCGCTGGAGAAATTTATTGTTGATTGATTTTCCTAGTAATGTGATGTGAAGAAGTGGAATAAAAAAATTCTTCACTGTCATCGTCATAATAGAGAGAATTAAGATTGTTAAGATAAAAAGCTGACTATACTCTCTGCATAAATCCGTTAGTTTTTGTTATTTTTGTTTTTTTGAATATACAGTATTTTGAATTGTTAATAAAAATTGCATTATTTGATATAACGGTTGGGTTTGTTATGATATCCGGTATATTGTGAAAACTCGATTTAGTGGATCTCTCGATTTTAACGGAGAAAAGAGTCGGAACCGCTGCCTCCGTTATATCGAGTTTCACTGTGTATATAGTAACAAACTTAGAAACAACGATAGGCGACGACAGACAATGGACAGGCTACTGGCAAGCATCCTATGTAAAGTATTTTTATTGACCAGAAGCTAGAGTGATTGTTAATCTTGTTAATCCCTAATTAACAATCGCGAGCAATAGGACAACGAAATCAAATAGAGTGACAATTTACGCAGAGTAAACGTTAAGACAATGTTTTATTATGCAGTAATTGTACAAAAATATAAAGACTTAATGACAATCGCCATTTCCATTCTACATCTCAGCCTCTCTTCAGCCCGTTCTCGTTTTCGGCTACCTGTTGCATTAATTCAGTAATGTTATTTTCTGAAGCAAGTAATTTCTCCCAGAAAAACTCGTCGTTGATTATTAAATTCTCTTCTTTCTGTTAGTAATAGGAAATAATGCGAAGGAATGGTCAGAATTCTTCCTTAAGGCTTTCGATTCCTTTTTGGTATCTCTCATCGTATTTTCGAGCCTCTTTTAAACTTTCTCTTAAGTATCGCTGTTCGTATTCCTTTTCTTGTAGCCACTTTTGCCATTGCCTGAGCATCATCTTGCAGTCCTTGAAACTTTTACTTGCTTGGATAAAAATGCCATCTTTGGTTTGAAGAAATTGTCAAACACCTATTGTTTATATTAGCCCTGGTCTTCCACACATTTCCATGATAGTATTCTTCCAATTAACAAAACGTCTTTTGTTTCTCTAAAAACTATGTTTGATTCGTCGCTAATGATTTGGCTAGCTATATGTAGGGTCAGTCGTAGACAATTCTCAATCGAACGAAGACTCTTGTGCCATGCTAAAATAAACAATGCATAAGGACTCTAATTGACGGGAAATAGGATGAGATCAATCTTCGGAGGAGTGGTTGGTATTTGCAAAAAACCATATCAATATGATCCATACCTGCATTCTGGATAAAAACTCCAGCTCAATGATAGGTTTTACCTCTTTAATGGTCGCCTGTTTCACAGGCACTGCAAGCAGCAACACATTTAGCCACAAGTGGGCATGGAACCCAGCTATATTGTCTACAAATCTGAGAATGAATTATTATATACCTACTGCGAGCTTTCCTTTTAACTTTTTTTTTAGCACCGTGACATAGTGAAAAGATGAGCGCGTATGTGGATGTAAAAAAACTTCTAAGTTCTGTATTTAACTAGCGGGCAGAACTGATTTCTAATCACAAGTTTATTAATTGTTTCCGTCGCGTATTTTATTCGTTTAATTTGTCATTGTAAGAGATTCACAAGGTGCATGATGGGAAGAAATGAGTAATATAAATTTTAATACTTATGTGGGAATTTTTGTCAGTAATCTGAGATTATCGTTATTCCGAACACTCATTTTAGCAATATCGTTCATTTTAAAGGTATCAAGTTGAGGATGTACACATAGGGCTTACATTGGGGCGACATGATTGCAATATCATTTGGTACACGAGCAGTACACGACATATTAACGTGTCAAATTACGATTAGCAAAATTTTCATTATAACAAACTCCACATTTTATAAGATTAATGTATAATAAGTTTATCACAAGTCTACGTCCTACTCTTTAACGTCTCGTAGCTAACAAGATTTTACAATCGCCTATTCTTTCTTGAGTTTTGTTGGTGGATCTATGAGATGGAATATGAGTTAGCATATGGCCGGAAAAAAAAAGATATTCATCTATCACGATATACTTACTAATGCAAGTTCTAGTTATGTACTTGAGTGCCTCATCAATAAAAATCACAGGCAATGAAATAACCAACACCGCTTCCCACTCTGCAAGATTGAGTGGCACAATGTCAAACAATGTCTATAAAAAATATTATAAAACAAATTAGTAAATTCCCTACAATCAAAGTCTGATGCGTACCGTTTCAATCGTAACCTACCGTGAACAAAGGCACATATAAAATCACAAAATGCAACACCATTGAGAGTATGATTGACAGTACAAGGTATATATTACTCCAAAGTGGCAATGTCAGCAAGCTCTCATTTTCACTCAATGAATTCATCGCATTGAGCATCTCTATTGTCACCAGAATTGACAGCGAGATTGTAGTAGCTCGTTGAGACATCTCGTTGGCGAACATCTGGCAACCGATCTCGGGGAATAGACTTTCGCAATTGTGAAAATGAGTCTAACAAAAAGTAACCAATTAGCAACAACGCGAAGATAACAGCAGTCCAATAATAATAATAATCAAGAGCATAATAACATGGATTGCAAAAAAGCAACCCTTCAATCCTCTTAAGCAACTCGAAATAGATAATGACGTACCAGCTGGTAGTAACTAATTTGTGGTCCACCAGAATAGTACATGAACCACCAAGCGTATCCAAAAACAGTTGCCATGCCAACATACATTCCAACGATTAAATATCGCACAAACAACCATTTTCCAACCAATGGCTCTTGACCCCTACGGGGAGGAAGACGCATGATATCGTGATCAGGTGGATTAAACCCAAGAGCGGTAGCAGGAAGACCGTCCGTTACTAGATTCACCCAAAGTAATTGTACAGGAATCAAAGCTTCGGGCATGCCAAGGATCACAGTCAAAAAGATACTGTATTAGAGAGTTATTAAAGAAAAAGCGTGTTTTAGTATTGATAGTAACAGGATGTCGGTAATAACGATTAAGTAATATTATCACACGTGATAGAACTATCGTACGCGCATTCACGTTACATACCTGACAACTTCTCCAATGTTCGAACTAATTAGATATCTTATGAATTGCTTGGTATTATTGTAAATTGAACGACCTTCTTCTACAGCTTGCTCAATTGTAGCAAAATTATCATCAGCCAGAACCATATCTGCCGCTAATTTAGCTACATCCGTACCGGAGCCCATTGCTATTCCAATGTCTGCTTTCTTCAGAGCTGGCGCATCATTTACACCGTCACCTGTCTGCGTTTACAGGATATAATTGTTTCCGATAATGGCGAATTAGAACAAAGAACCTTCCTACTTCATAACTAGATACATGTTCTAAATTATTAGAATCTTCAAAAGACTCGACGTACCATTGCAACAACTTCTCCTTGACTTTTTAGTAAATCTACAAGTTGACTCTTATGTGCCGGTTCGGTTCTCGAGAATAAACTAGCTCTTCTTACGGCTTCGAATTTTTTTTCTGTTGACAACTCATCAAACTCTCGACCGGTATACGATTTTCCAGTTAAATCCTCGTCCTCACCAAATATTCCAATCTTTTTACATATAGCCTCGGCAGTCGCCTTATTATCTCCCGTAATCACGATGACTCTAATACCAGCGGTCTCACATTTCTTTATAGCATCAATAACCTCCGGACGAGGTGGGTCCAACATGCCAACAAGACCAACAAAAGTCATATTCTGCTCATGGGCAGTGAAATTCGGCAAAACTTCGAAATCCGACGGGTTTAGATTATATCTCACAGCCATTCCTAGTACACGCAATCCTTGCCGTCCGTATTCGTATAATTTATTGTTTAATTGAGAGCGAATTTGGGGTGTCAACGGAATCGGGACAGAAGACGAGGAAACCATAACGTGAGTACACCTGTCGAGAACAGACTCTGGTGCACCTTTGACGAGAAGTTTTGCACCAAAATTTGATACTGATGGTTGACTAACAAGAACAGACATGGATTTACGATCCCTTGTGAATTCGAGTGTTACAATCTACATTTGAAATAGAAATCAGAATTTAAAAATCCGAGCAAGCAGAAAGGAAATTTCAGTGTTAAAAAACGTACCCGATTTGATTTGTTCTCATAATAGTCGCTGCAAGCAGTCGCGCGTTCTTTTGGCGAATAACCCAGAAGCCCTGCATTAAATAGCGTGTCTTCTGTGCCAAGTTTTTCTACAAGTACCTTTAGCGCAGCTTCAGTCGGTTCCCCGATATTTTGGTGTATCAATGATCCCTAAATAAATGTGACGAGTTACAAGACTGTTGCCATATTGAAACATAGTTAAAGAAATTTAAAAGCAGTAGTAATAACCTCTTCGCACAGGATACGAGCATCATTGCATAATGCACAGATTTGAGCTAGTTCGTTTATCGTTGGTTTTGTGGCCGGCAGCGAACTTAGTATTTTACCATCCGGAGTTCTAATAAAAGTTGATATGGAATTGTTAGACGCATTCTAAGAGTACAGTTTGCTATAAAAAAAACGACGCATCTCTTACGTTATGTCTCCAACAGGCGCGTAACTTGTGCCATTTACGTAAAACTCTTCGAGTTTGGCTCTGTCATTTTCAACAATGACCATCTATAACAACATTAAATACTTTATACTTGATTTCACAAAGCCACCCCACTTGCCCTATGATATTTCTGACGACCAACCACGAACCTACCCTTGACACGCTCATCTGATTGGTTGTCAATGTGCCTGTTTTATCCGAACAGATAACACTGGTGCAGCCCAATGTCTCGACAGAAGGTAGTGATCTCACGATAGCATGCTTCTTTGCCATTTTTTTAGTTCCCAATGCTAAACAAGTCGTAATTACTACGGCAAGCCCTTCTGGAATGGCGGCCACGGCAAGTGCCACAGCTATCTTAAAGTAGTAAATCGCGCCTTTAAGCCATCCATGATGACTGGGATCGTTGAAATGGTTTATATTTATAATCCAGACTAGAATGCAGATTACGGAAATGACCTACAGAAACAACGAAATCATACGTGAGTCGACAAGTATTTCTTTTTAGCAAGTTTTTTAGTTAGTCTAAAAAATTCTATATTATTGCCATTGCTTTCAACCATAAGAAACAAGTAGCAACACAATAAAGTATACCCTCGCAAGCATGTCTCCAAAATCGTCGAGCTGTTTCTTTAACGGTGTCTTTTCGGAATCTTGATCAGAAATACTTTTATGTATGCCACCAATTTCAGTGTTAGGGCCAGTATGTATTACTATAGCGCGAGCTTTTCCCGAAACGACCGTTGTACCCTACTTGTACAAAACGTGACGGATTAAAACGATTTCATGATCAAAATTTCAAAGTGTTTGAGTAATTAAGAAAAAAAGCAGGGATATAACTAGCAACAGGCCAGTCATGATAATAATATAAAATGAAATCTCCCACATAAGACACAAATCTTTAAACAAGATGCCTGCATAACTTCGACCGTAAATAACTTTTCCAAGTATTAACGTCCATCAAGTAAACAAATAATTACCGAAAATACAATATTGGTTTGATCTTGCAAAACAGCTCGCAAGTCTTCCACTACCGCAGTGTCCTTATTCACACTAACGCTTTCGCCAGTAAGAAGCGCCTGGTCAACTCTAAATGTAGAAGAATTGATCTTCAACAGTCTAGCGTCAGCAGGAATTTTATCTCCTATTGATAGTTCAATTATATCTCCTGGGACAAGCTCGGATGTTTTTATTTTTACTAAATAGCCACCACGCCATACTCTTGTTTCGTCTGGAGCGTACTCTTTCAATGCCTATGATACACAATAATTGATCAAAATAGATGATTAATAAGCAAATCGGAGCAACGGTTGCAACAATGTCTTAGATGGGTCAACTTGCCTCTATTGCCTTTTCAGCGTTACTCTCCTGAACAACACCGACTATGGCATTCGCTATCAAAATCAACAATATGACTATTGGTTCGACGAATGCTGTTCCCTTCTCGTCACTTTCCTCTAACAACGCGAGAATAAAAGAGACAGCTGCGGATACAAGTAGTATGATGACCAGTTGATCTTTAAACTGTTCCAAGACCAGCTTCCACAATGATGTCGGCTCGTCAGGGGGAAGTTCTGGTTAGGATAAGCAATGTAGAAATTTGAACGATTAGTTAGATCAGGCGGATTTAGAGTGATTACGTAATGCGCATAAATGGATTCTATATGCCTCGACCTTTGCTACTAACGAATGTTTTGGGTTCAGATCGTTCAAAGGAAACCTTATAGCCGAACGATCTAAGAAACGATAAGTATCGCAAAAACAAACATGATGTTTACCATTTCGTCCGTGGATTTTATAACCCTCTTCTACTTGATCACTTGTTAGTCCGGTCTCAGGGTCGACCTTTAAGTACTCGAGTATTTCTTTTGCACTTTTTGCATGTGCGGCATCCATGGCTTTTCTTATTATTATTATTCTTCTTATCGAACCTTTTCCCGACTTGTTTTTTCTTGTGTCTTTTTATGCTTTTTTGTATTCTACTCGAGTTGCCAATTATCCTCTAACAAGTGTCAAGCAAAAATTGTTAATTGATGTCATTGGTTTCCACCTATCGGATTTTGAATTGCCTAATATAAACCTTTTACGTAAATGCCTAATGATGGAGTAACACGAACAATCCGACTAACGTTAAGGTATTAGGTTTGATGTAATAGACTCAGCCCACGTTTGCATCATGACGAGTCGAATAGTTCAAGGAAAGCCAACATTGTGAATCATATTGCAAATATTAAACTTTAAAACCATGAGAATTGGATTTTCCAGTTTGTTCAGAATTACTGTGTTTTTCCAATCGTCAGTCAAAATTAGCTTTAATTTACTAACGCCTTGTACCACCCGTTTTTTTTTTACGATCGGGGGGATTTTGTTTGGGTCACAAGATTTGTTTGGAACACGTGGAGCTTGTTGGGACTTTTATTGCACAACCCCATACATTTCCGCTATCTATAGTATCTGTCAAACAAAGTAATGGTATCTTTAACCTTTTAAAGAGATTTACCCTTTAGCGCATCGAATCGGCATGCCATTATTTCACACAGTCTCAAATGTAAATTGGCCAGGGCTTAATATTAATATAATATGACGGATAGTTGGCGTAGGAGCTTCAAACTATATATTACGCTCCACGGCGTGCTATAAAACCTGGACAGTCTGCGTTAAATATCGGCTTTCTGAGCTTTTGAAATAAGAATAGCCAGACATTGGACCATACTTTGACTAGGACTAAAATTACAGTCTGATATAACGAATGTGTGATTGTAAAGAATTACTTGGCTATTGAGAGAGATCTGTCAAAGTACGACAATTTTTGCTAAGCATTAATTAATAGATTGTTGCCTGTTTATTGCGCTTGCTTGAGCATCTTGGTTAATTTTTCTTGTTCTCGGTGTTTTTGTTTCTTACTATTACTATATGACTTTTCAGACAAAATTGAAGCATCCCCACCAATGAATCCACGTTGGGGGACTCAGTTACTGCGTATGCAGTTGCCATTCATTCTCACAGAATCCCCTCCCACCTATCATGTGAAGCTAATACAGTATATTGTCAACGTTCTTTCGGGACGTAAGCGTTTGGTAGGTGACGTATTGGTATGCTATATTAATATGTCAATCCAGTAATTGAGTGCTTGCCGATCGACTTTGCAAAATATGCCCATATGACCTATCATGTCGCACAGACGCAGTAAAGTTGATTTTCCCACCAAACATATGCGCATTCTTTTTATCACTTGACTTCATTCCTTTCTATTGATCTCCCCCCTCTTTGGCCGGTACAATCTAAATTCATACTCTACGGACAAATTACAACACTCTGTAACCATTTACGCAACTTGCTCAACATGAACTCGGTACAGACCCTCTTCTTCGGCATTCGTGAATATCTTTCTCCTGTATTGAAAAATTCCAAGTTCAAAGAGACGGGTTGCATTACACCTGAAGAGGTTGGATAATTTGTAGGCATACCGAAGCCCCCTCTTTCTGTTTGTTATGAGATCTTTAAAGAAGATTACTTTTGTGTTCACGCGAAGACTTGTTTATGTCGTAGTTTGTAGCTGCGGGAGATTTCCTAGTTTACAAGTGTCCAACCTGGAACTGGTGAGTTGTTGGGCGGAAGAAGTTTGGATTATTGACCTTGAACGAGACATGGATTACGATTCGAGATTTTGACACTTTGTTTGCTAGGGAGAGCGGTGAAGAAAGCAAGAAGAGAGATTATTTGCCACCAGAGAAGCAATTTCTTATTACGAGAAATGGTATTCTGTCACCAGCGCTCCACCTTTTATTCCTATCTCGCTCCTAATTCTCATTCTGAATTTTGTTAGTCCCATGTCTTCGACGCGTCAAGCAGATGGAATATACTGATGAAGATGCAGAAACCCAGATAGAGACTGAAAACGGGGAGGATGCATGGGTGGCTACCCACAGTGGTCGTGGTAAGGTGTGAGATTGAGATCGGTTTGGAGTTTTTGAATGTCAGGGTGCAAGCCGTTTGCTCGAAATAATGACTGTCGATAGTTTACATAAAGTCTATATGTTGTCTAATACTGCTAAATAATTTACGTATTACAATAGTAATCGTTACGACTAATATCGAAGTCATACAAGCCATCGAGGGCGAGGGCGAAGACGAAGAAATTGTTGCGAAAAGATTAAGTCAAATCAAATTGGAAGAGGCGCGCGAGAAGGAAGAAGATAATATTCCAGATATGGACGACATTCCTGATATGGATGATATTGCTGATAATGTTGTTGAAGAAGAGGATCCAGTGAGTAAAAGGAAGGCTTTTGATATAACAATGGATAGACACAATATTTATATTGACGCCATTGTCATTGCTATTGACTTAGGCTGCAATAGCCGCTTCAAGCCATGTTCCATCTTCGTCTCACGATGACGGGCCAAGGTATGCTTTGTAGTATTTGTATACTTTGTATTTTTATTTATTTATTTATTTTTTGCCTAGTTTAACATATTCTATTTATATTATCTCTAGTGACAAGATTCTTCAAGTACGAACGTATGATGTGTTTATTACATATGACAAATATTATCAAACACCTCGTATGTGGCTCTTCGGCTATGATGAGGTATGGTTTTTTGGATCTAGTCTTCCCACGTTTCTTTATCTTTCCTGTTCTAATGACCATATTCGCTGCTTATCTTAGCATCGTCGCCCACTAACATCGGTTCAGATATTCGAAGATGTCTCTCAAGACTATGCCAAGAAGACAGTAACCATCGAGACACATCCTCACCTAAATATGTCCCTGGCAAGCATTCATCCATGTCGACATGCACAAGTGATGAAGAAGATTATCGAAAAGATGAATGATGAGAGCATCAAGAAATTCGAAAAATATCAGGCGCAGTTGCCAGCGTCGAGCAGCGTTAATAATCCAGGAAATGGCAACAACGCGCTTCAAGCCGAGCAGGCACAAGTTAGAGTTGATCAGTGAGTAGCATTGGATTTATAGGATGTTGAACGTGATTACGCATTGTCTTTATTGTGTTATTAATATATTTTTTTTTGTAGGTATTTGATTATATTTTTGAAGTTTATGTCTTCAGTTGTTCCTACAATTGACTACGATCACACCATAAGTGCATAACCATCGCTCCTGAACAGTATTGGCTCTAGATAACAGCTATATAGAACTTTCTTGATGCCTATATCCCCTGATAATTTATCTATTCCCTATCTCTTCACTTTAGTTGCCTATCTCTTTTATGGGGGAGGCCGTTGACTATATAAATAAATGACAGACCTTTGTTGCAACGATACAAATTTCACATAATAAACAGAATATTTGACGAAGCTTAGAGACCGTATTCGCTTAGTATCTTCCCCTTCACAATTGATACTAAAAAGTGCACCCTAAATTATTACGTAATAAAAGTTTTAAGTTAACGTTTATTATAAAATATCCTGATGTAATAGCTTACATGGTGAGTCCTCCTGTCAGGCGAGTGTGTATGAGTATATAAGTTATAAAGTATTACCCACGGATTACCTTATTGTAAGTGTCAATTGTTATTATGCGCTTACGCGTAAGGCTATTCGCCAGTATCTAATATTCTTATATTTCAGATTCCCGACACAACCTTGCTCTTCCCACTAATCTTGACAACTCGCTCTAACTCGGACTGCTTTTGACTTCCAACCACCAACCTGTTACCACATCCACAAAACGGTTTGAATCTTTCTTACTGAAAGATGCGATGATCTTAATGCCGATGCCAGAGCCCCGACGTCAATGACTAGTGTTTGGCATTTATTCACGTCGTAAGCATCCACTTAATTACGAACCTCATTTGAGACGAAAAATATATATATCAGTATACTGCCGTTGTAAAAAGGGAGCCTGTTTAAGAGGGTGAAAAACCAATCTCGGATAGCACACGTTCCATACAAGAAAGAAGGAGGAACATCCCACCTCTCAACATCCCACGTCGCGAAGCTTGTCTCAATGCGTGCTTAAGAAATACGACAAACGCATTGAATAATTTCAATGAATCACTACAAGCTGAGTAACCGCATCCATCACTGAAAATTAAGCAATGACACATAGACATTGAGTAGAGCTTCTGACTTTTACATTTATAATTTCCTTACATCTCTCTCTATGATAACAAGTATTAAGAAACATCACTCCATAATCGAACATTGTAAATAGGTTACCTCATGAAAACGTTTACTTTATTAAAGATTGTAAAGAAAAACTAATCCGTAATGATAGAACAGATGAAAGAGAATAAAAGTTACGTTTTAAATTTTTAATCAATTAAACAATTTTCTTGAATTTCGACGTGTAAGCATCCGTGTGTAACGTAACGGGTTCATTATTATTTCAAGAAAGCTGGACATAAAAAAATGTCTCGAGATGAGAGAGGAAAGGTTGTTTAAAAATTTATATCTCTTCAGCCAGATTTTCTGGCTCAAGGATCGGTATTGTCGAAAATTCTCTCGGAATGAGACCCAACTATGAAACCTAATATTCCAATGCTGAGTATGGCACAATTACACGTATTTCTTGCATATCGTTCCGTTGATTTAATAACAATTCGTAGATTTGCGCGAAAAACGTGGCGATATATGGTTTTTATAAACCGATTTTTGTTCGATACCTCAAAGCATTTTATATTGGGTAAATGTCATGTGATTTATTATGATCTGCAGAACATTTTTTTTACACGATGAAAATTATTGATGTTCTTTCTCTATACAATCATACGCCCGCTACATATTATTATGTATTTCGAGTACCAGATCGGTTGACTCGGCATAGTAAGTGTTGATAATATCTTGCTATTTAACCGGTTGGATACTGATGATATAGATGTCGCCCCAGTCTGAAATTATGACGATAGACATGCGTAAGCCAAACGCACATACTGATTCTAATTGGAAAAGATCAAAAGAGCTTGTAACGTCTGCCTGATAAGGATACTAACTATACAATTTTGCAAATAACCTGTAAACAGATTATTGAACAAGTGAATCTGGAAATAAGAAGGACATTAAAAGTAGAAATACTTTCAATGAAGTCAATGTTCACATTTACGATAGTGCACATGAGATGTCAACAGGGCTACGTGAGAAAAAGGTAGGAAGAGTAACACTATCATGGCAGATTCTCCGAGCGAAACGGATATAAAGGTATTGTTCCCATAGATTATTCTGGGGGTGGGACAACATCTAACACGTTTGCTGAACAGTATGTATGATTAGCCATTGGTCGATTAATTTACCGCTACTTGATTGAAAATTTAACATTAATACGATTAAAATCTGTAATCCCCGTTTTTCCTAAACTGTGTCGCTAATGGATCCATTTTATGCAGAATATGATCCAAATGACTACATGTTAGTTGAGAAAAGCACTTATTAATTTTTCAATAGGATTACTTACCAAGGAAGATCTCGTATTATTACCTATGTTGATGTGACAGTTCTTATATGCAGGTTCACGAGCACGCATCATATTTGAACGCTTAATTCGGTTATACACTCTTCAAGCCATCTCTTAGTTTATTTATATTTCTCACCCGACTCTTCAAGCCATCTCTTAGTTTATTTATATTTCTCACCCGACTCTTCAAGTTGCACGAGTCTATCGGAAGACTGATTCGTATCGTCTATCGTGCGTTCATGATAATGGGAATAGAAGCCGGTTAGGATAAAATCTACCTTCGTACGGGTCAAACGACCAGAATCAAATGATTGCCCTTCTAACATTTAATTATCACGCCGCCAGAATTTTATTGCTCCCGCGGCTGACAATTAAATTGTGCGTTACCGTCCATAGCCAACCATCAGAGCACTGATGCTATAAATTTCGAATATCCATGAGCCCGTAGAGAATGATGATGCTCATCGGCAGAAACATTATTTAAAATACAGTGAACCTGGATAAAATGAAATTTGACTTTTTTCGACGACCCGATTTTTATCCAATAAAATTTTCTGGATACAACGAAGTTTATTAGGAAATCTGGTTTTTAATACGCTGAAGCCTTGTGGGAAGCTCAAACTTTGGTCAAGGAAATACTACATAGTAATAGAACCCCTCAACCAAATCTTCAATTAGCATTTGGGCCACATATTTGCACAAAGGGCACTTTGATATTTTTGGCTTGCTCATCAGTGAGTAATAAACCATTCAAAATAGACTGGTTATGGTTAACTCTGGCAGACCTACAACCATCAACAGCCTGATTCCCATTCCCCTATCACTTATGTAAAGTGCCAATCACCACATTTGTAGTCTTTACTCTTGCTTGGTGGGCAGTAGGATTCACCCCTAAAACCATGAATAATAATGCACTTGGATGTTCTGAAACTTAGAGCCTTCTGGTACCTGGGGGTGGCTCCCACTTGTGTACATACTCAGTAAAACTCCAATTCTCTAGAAATGGATGTGTACAATTCATGAATAGCACTTGGAAAATTCTCCAGAAGAAAATGTTTCAATCCACAATGTCTCCCCATTCCATAGAATCCCGTTTCCAGTACCCAGGATAGTCTAAAAGCCCATTTGACATGGAGACATAATGTAAGTAAATAAACAGTTGATTACAAAGTTAACAAATATTAATATCTTATTCCTTTTTATTTTACCAACCATTTTTGATATATTCCAAAACCAGGATTTAATCCTTTAACAATACCTTTATAACAACATTAAAGGCTTATGTCAACTTAGACTGCAATAAAGTGAACATTTTATATTTATATCTTGTTCAGATCTAGAGAGAGCTTGAAACGCATGTAATTCAGCAAATTTTCTCTCGGGATCTTTTTTGAGCAACCACAATTGCAACCTATCTCCAAGAAACGTATTGCTTTTTCATATTCAGTCAAACTACTATGTTGACTATTTTTCATATACGGGTAATCCTATATTAATATATAAATTTTAATAATAAATTTTATTATCGAGTTTTACCAGAAGCAACAGTAATAATTACAACAATTGGAATAGCCATTAAGTTTCTACTTGCAAAAAATTTCACGTTTCGTTTATTTGAGCATCTTCTGCCATAAGAAATACAAATCTATTGAATCAAATTACTCAGAAATATTTGTGTAGTACATATTAATATATTATTATTATATATAGCAGCCATTTCTTGACTAAGGGATGATTCCTCTTTAAAGACAAGTGAGAAAAAGGATTTGATTGCATCATATCAGTCTAAATGTGTCTTGTCATCCAATGAGTATCAAGTGGCCATGGATGCATGAAAAGTAGAAGCGGAAGCATTAGAAATCGATAGCCTAGTTCTCCTCTTTCATTACACCCGCCCGCCAGGCACAGCCACGGCCACAGCGGGAGAAAAGTGGGAAACTGAATCGACGTCCTTCTCCGTCATAGAAAGGCGGACTCTATCTTGAGCTTCATTAATACATTGATATCCATTTCTGCAAGAGTTTCATCAAGGTTTGGGATTTCACCACAGAGAATGAGGGTAAGGGAATCTTTTCCAGGTATGTGACTGTACTATGCTTTGCTTTTTAAATTGATTTGCAAATGATATAAAAGGCAACATGACCAAGTCTGATAAAATATTAACTGGTTTATCAAGTATTTTGACGGATAAGATTCGTTCCAATTATATAAAAAACATAAAAAAGAAACTGGACATGAGCCATGGCAATTATCATAAAAGAGAGAGAAAGAGAAAGATGTGATAACCTCAAGCCTCTGACTTCAAGCCTATCATTTACGAAACAAAACCTAATCCAGACGTAATTATCAAATCTGTATTAGAGCATTTCACATACTTGAAATTCCGAAATAGCTTTAAAGGGATTGATAATTATAATTTTGCATTTGCTCAGCCACCATGTCCTATTTGCGATGTAAAACATGGGAATTATGGATTACATGGCGAATGGTATAGAAATGGAACAGAATATTGTCTTACCTGCAAGAGCTCAAGCAATAAATTAAAGTTCGCGACTGTAGCATAGAAACTTTATCATGTACAGCAAGTCAGTCTCGCGTTTGCACGTATCCGTGAATTTCACACAGGAGTCATATGTATCAACACTGCGCGACACATGATCAGCTGGTCATTTGCGTTTTACTGATACTGTATATAACGGGACGTTTATCAGATGAGAATAAAGAGAATAAACCGATACTTTGATCAAACTCATAGCGATTGGAACATTATAGATTTTTTAGAAAACAATAAAGAGGATCCTTTTCGAATACTTATAGATTCGTATTTAAGGTATTTCAAACAAATTATTCAAAGTAACACGGAAGTAAAAAAGAAAAGGCACAGCTACTCATAAATAAATATAAAGAAATTTTTTTGTTCAATCCACAAAGTCAGTGTTGGGGCATCAGACAACCTACGCGCTTGCCTGATGTTTAAGTCTACGAGCCTTACCTAACACTGATCCAATAACAGCAACATTCATATTATTGAGAACATTAATTATCTCTTCTATTTTTGATTACCATCTGGCAAAGAGTTGGAAACATTTGCAAAAATCTAACAATATGCGTGAAATTCCGAATACCGAAAAGTATTGTGTGTGGCAATGAAAATCAGGGTGATGCAACAGCCGTTTCCGGTTTGAAAAACAAGAAGCATGACATATAGATCTTTATTTAAGCTCTAATACTAATACTAAAAGTTAGCTAATTTGTAACCTGGGAAGTTATCATGTCTGGTTCCTATTATTATTAATAGAAATACTTAACACTTCACTGAATTTTACAAGTAGAGTTAAACTCGGCAGTAAAAAATTTTAATGAGTGACGTCACATATTCACTATGCGTATTATTATTATTATTATACAATGCGAATTTACATACACGTTTTTTTTTTATCATTTAACACAGCCCATCTGTATCTCCCTGTTTCATATATTTTTCACTCGCATCATGTAACTAAATTTTACCTATCTTCGATGCATTTCCATGCATTAAAGATCGTTCATGGTACCGAAAAAGTATTATCATATGGTCATACTCTTTAAGGGGTATATATTATATATTGCAATCGTTCCGACTTAAATGCAATAATGAACGAAAGTCTAGTCTACAGCGAGTTTAAAGTTCTGCAGCATTTTCCGTGAATGCTTCAAGAGCTGTCAAAACCTGCACATCCGATTTCTCAAATCAAGGTTTTTTGATCACCCATCATATTTCAAAAAGACTTACTATATTCGTCATTTACTTCGGAGATCTGTCCATAAATACCGGTGAGCTGTTCAAGCGTTTATCGGATATCCGGCCCTTCTTAATTTTGCTTTCTTCCCGCATCCCATTGCGTCTCTGACACTATGTCTTACTTGACAAGAGATCAACTCAGTGAGTGGGCAAGTTGATGTAATACAACTGGTTGAAAAGATGGTATTAATGTGACCAATACTATTCCGTAGATGAATACTTGAAAACGCTTAGTATTAATGCGCCAAAGAAGTTAAGTGCACAAGTATCCCCTCAAGTAGATATAAATGCTCAACACAAACGACATTCTCTGCCTGGCTTGAATTTGCGTGAAGTGGTAAAGGAGATCGTAGTCACTGATAGGCAATCGGGTGTAACTTCGAACGACACCGACACGAAAACATCTAATTCTGTGAAACAAAATACGCTGCCGAGTAACGATACCTCTCAGGAGGTAAACGTGGAGGACAGCGAGGATTTAAATACACAAAATGAGTCTGATATCGGTCAAACTCCACCTACCAACATGACAGCTGCGGGACAAGCTGCGACATCGAATACATTGAAAAAATCAAAAACACCGAGTAAGTCTTACAATACTAATAGACCTAATTTAACAATTAAGGCGGATGCTAGACCGAAAAGAAGCAATAGTTTGAAGAGATCAGATAGCACAAAGGGAGCAAGCAGCCCGAGATGTCTGGATAGCCCGAAACGAATTGACTCTTCTGCGCGAGGAGACAAATCAAATCGGCTTGACAGTCCCAAAAAACTTGACACTCCAAGGCGATCAGATTCTCCAAAGAAGCTCGATAGTCCGCGACAGAACAACTTTTCCCGCCTGGATAGTACAAAACGTAGCGACAGTCCGGCTCGAATAGATGTTCCAAAGCGTATCAACAGTACCAAGCGCGGTGACACTCCAGCTCGATTGGATATACCAAAACATATCAACAGCCCTAAGCGTAGTGACAGTCCGGCTCGTTTGGATAGTCCGAAACATTTAAACAGCTCCAAACGCTGTGACAGTCCGGCTCGTTTGGATAGTCCAAAACATCTCAACAGTCCCAAACGCTGTGACAGTCCGGCTCGATTGGACAGTCCAAAGCGTATCAACAGTCCTAAGCGCAGTGACAGCCCGGCTCGATTGGATAGTCCAAAGCGTACCGATAGTCCAAAGCGTACCGATAGTCCCAAACGTACCGATAGTCCCAAACGTACCGATAGTCCCAAACGTACCGATAGCCCTCGATCGTCTCCAGTAGCTCCCTACTTTTCTTCTGCCAACGTATTGACTCTTCCACCGAGTGGTAGTAAATCGGATAAGACTATACCGCAGAATTGTGCAGGCTGTGATTTGCCCATATCTGGCCCCGTTTTGTCGGCTGTAGGGAGGCGTTGGCATCCTGCACACTTTGCTTGTAAACAATGTGGTGATTCTTTAGAGAATGCCGCTTTCTTCGAGAAAGCTGGCAATCCGTATTGTCGAAAGGATTTCCACGAACTGTTTAGCCCAAAATGTGCACAATGTGAAATGCCTATTGAAGGGGTAAGAAAACGGAAATCGACTGGCACGTGTTCGTCGAAATTCATAATGACTAATTGTCGGTCTTATACTTACAGAAAATAGTCAGTGCTCTTGGAAAATCGTGGCACCCAGGACATTTCTGTTGCCAGAAATGTGGCGATCCGTTTGAGTCGGGTGGTTTTATGGTTCACAATGGATTACCATACTGCGAAAAGGATTGGGTTGAGGAACATGGTGAGTAGAAAGAAAACGGTCTATTGCTATATCACGATTTATTGCATTAAGGTACTTATCAGTCATATCGTAACAGCGCCACGGTGTGCAGCCTGTAGCAAACCCATCCGGGGCGAAATTATGAATGCATTGAATGCAGTTTGGCACCGAAACTGCTTCACTTGCACGGTTTGCATCCTTTTGTAGTATTTTTCAATTGATTTCACAAGACTGTTCTTTTTGACTAACACTTGCTTTGTAATAGATCTGTCGAAACCCTTTTCCGGATTCTTTTTACTACGTTATAGATGACAAGCCATATTGCGAAGCCGATTATCGTGACTTCCTCTCGGGCATATAAGTTAAAACAAAGAAATCATAAACATTAGAACTTTTGGTTTTAGACGTTGTCTATTTGGATTAAACCCATTTTATTGCTTCTGTTTGTTGAACTTTCGCATTATTAGAACCAGTTTTTTTCTCTTAGATAGTCTGTTAAAATCTCCAGTCTTTGACAGATACAAGGATAATAGAACAGATAATAGAACAATAAATTAATCACACATATCTATTAAGTAATTACTCTGCAATCCCTTCAACTTCTCTCCCGAGTCCCATCCCAATGCCTATTGCTGCCAATTTATCCCTAGCCTTTTCGTTGAATGAATTTCCTCCCACACCCGTATTAGCGACTATGAGTTTCTCTATTCCCCCTGATTTGAAATCTGTCCTTGCAGCAAGATATGGTTGTAGATGCTGCACTTCGATCTTAGAAAGGAATCCCTCACTTAATACTGAGGGGATGATATCTAGTTTGACAACGAAAAGATTGCCGATTTCGCGTAACATTTCGAAACACTCATCGAGGGCGGCAATTTTATACTGTGCTATTGCTTCTTGATATTTTGCAATGTCCCTTAAGGTAAAGAGAAAATTTGAGATGTAACAGTAAGTCTACGTACGTATCTGGTTGATTGAAACAATATATGCGAGACGTACTTTGTTAAAACCAATGCACCGGCCGGACTAACAGTAAACTTGCGGAAATGTTCAAGCAACATACTACCAGAGATGGAAAATTAGAATCATAAAGCTATGAAGCGGGGTCAGATTACTTTAAGCTGTTTACCTGTGGAAGGCCATTCCAACTTCAGTCAAGAAATGTTCAAAGTTTTTACCATCAATATGATGACCTATACCCGAATGAACCTTCTTCAAGTAGTCGATGCAATTATTGCATGGCTTCATGAAATAAATATTGATGTGTGTAAATGACCATAATAACGACATAATCGATACCCGATAATGAATGTGATGTTAAAAATCTTACCCCGGTGGCCAGACTCAATATAGAATCATCACCATCTTTAGGACGAAAATCAGTCTTTTTTTGTCGAGAAAGGAAATTAGACAGCCGGGCGATGATAGCTATGTAGAATTGGACAAGTTTTAGCAATACAATAAATCACAATCATTAACCAATAACGCCTCAGTGACCAAGTCGAATTTAAAGTGTACTGTATTATTACCATCAACCATTTTCTGGACAGCCATATTCATCTTGTTCTCTAAACCAAGCATAAATTTATTTTTTTCAGCTATCAAGTCCCGATGAATTGTGAGAGAAGCAGAGGCCAGAGGAAGCTACCAAAACAATCATTGTATAGGGGATAATTCAGTATAATTACGCCAGTAGAATGTTATCAAAGTTGCCAATTAACAAAAACCACTTACGATGACGATTTGAAAGTGATTTTGTGCCAAATGCATTATGTCTTTAGCAACCTTAAGACTCGCCAACGGTTTAAAATCCGGGTCCGTCTTTCCGTCCATTGCAGCAAGCTGTTCGATTGTTCTAAATGCATATGAAACTTTAGTTGTTGGAAGAAGAAAATATTAAAAACTCTTGCTGATACTATACGTTTCAAGTGCCGTCTCTACATATTGTCTTCCGATACTATCCAACAATACATGGAATAATATGCTGGCATTCTTGGCTCTTTAAATTATCGTTAGTAAACGTCATCGGCTCAACTCAATTAGAAACAATCTATTCAAGAGCTTAACTTACAAGTCAGTTGGAATGCTAAGGCCAACAGATCGCTTTACTGCCTCGGCGTGAATCTTCATGATCAACATCGCTGAGTATATCGACAGTTGTCCGTCTTCCTCAGTGACAGGCAGTAGGCCTTTGTCATTTAAAACTATACCCTGTTGATTAGGAGCGGGTGAAGACGATATTTGATTCACCGCCCGTTGGAACAGGTTACCACCCTTGGCATTCTTGCGTTGCAGCTGTATTAAAAACGTTATGAGTTGCATGTAAATAGCACAAGTCATAAGCAAAGTAAATAAAACGACTATCTTTCAGTTTCTCGTTTTTACACCTACATGGTATGCATTAAACTGCAATAACAATGAAGAATATAATTCAAGTAGTGACTTTTTCTCTTTCTCGAGATATCGATCGCCTTCCGTATACGGCACAAACAAATCCATCATGCATTGATTCAATACGTCTACAAGAGTATCAGCTTTACTTTGACTAACTTCCATTCTGCCACGAATCTCCTCTGACTTTTTATTATGCATATCTAATCCTTTCAGGTCTTCTACAAGATTTAAAGTCGCTATGTGTATAGTTGCAAGTGTCCGCAGATAGGCAAGGGTTGATATTGATTCGCTCTCTTTAAGGAGATGTTCCAGACAGCTTTGTATCTGTGGAGAAAATACACAATTAAATTTCCGAACTGCTGCTATCATGCAATATATACTGAAGTATAATAACGTACTAATTGAGCAAATATCCGCTGCAAGAAGACTTGCATAACTCCCATAGGATTAGGAAACACTGCATTGATAATTTCTGCTTCTTGTTTGACAGTTTCTCGGATTTCCTGGTAGAGATTTGCCATACCCTGATCTAACGGTGGAGGAGCAATTTCGGGATTTGCAAGATCGTTCCAACTAATCCAAATTATAGGGAAGGTATTGAGCAAAAGCACGTTTTTTACCAAAAGAAAAGATTGACTATAGGAATACCTTTTATTATCAAAAAACTCGTGCGTTTCGGTGAGATTAACCTTTTGTATGAAGAACGAATGTTGATTGACGTAGAGTGCGATGCATGAACCACCACCGTTAAATTCATGTAAAGTTTTAGCACAATGCTTTATATGAATGAAAGAGCAAGTTAACATGTGAACTTGCTTAAAATCAAAAAGTTACACCGAGCTCTGGAAATCCACACACCTGCATTGTTTTTGCGTCGCCTTTTCTATATGCTCTATCAAATTGATCTAATAATTCTTTCTCTAGTCCCTCGCAATATTTTTCGATACGAGTTCTCGCCTAATAAGTTAACGCGACCGTCAGTGACTATTGTTTAAAAAAGAAGACAAAAAGAAAAGCAGTGAACGTGGTCCATAAAACAGCAAAAGCGCGCGAGTGATTAGCCATAGTTGTGACCAAAATATCCTTGCCGGACTCGAAAGTAATTCGAGCTATCCGATACATGTATCATGCCGAAGCATTTTATGAAGAATGTGCATGATATAGACTCTTCCGCACGCTTAAACCGTTTCATGCCATGCAATCTCTCTTTGCCAGCCCAACAATTTTTTAATACACGTACTGCTTCAGCACCAGGTATATCTAACTCTTTTGCAACCGTGTTCAGTCGTCTTGCAATAATCGCTGCCTATTGCGTTTCATATTGTGACATCCATTTAGTCCAAAATGCTCGTTTATACGTAAAAACAAAAAATACGACCGTTCGAATTATACCCTTTACCTTAAGTTGTCCTTCTTTCTTTTTCAATGACTCTACCCTAGCCATATCACCACGATTGAATGCCATAAAATACTCTATTAATTGCTTTGATTCTGATGCACGCAGGCGCTGCCTGTCTATAGTCTCAAGTTGCTCGCCTTGAAACAAAGAAAATAGAACGTAAATTATGGTACGGCTGTGTGAAAGAAAAAAAGGTACCAAGCAAGTTAAATGTTAAGTGTCTTTCATATTACCAATTCTGATTGCCGTATTTCCAACTTCGTTTATTCGGGTTTCTAGATTTTCAAAGGACCGGACGACTTCCTGGTTATTAATTAAACTCGTATTAACGCATGGGCTTATTTGGTTAAAACAACGTGCGCAATTAACAAAGGTACCTCAAAGGTCGAATTAAGTTCTTGTAGTTTCTTCCGGTGAGCTGCTTCCGTAAACTGTACGCTTCCTTCCAAATCATCACCCTGCTGTTGTACAGTTTGGTGAAGTTTCTGTAGCTCTTCGATCGAAGCCTCAAATGTTCGAATAAGCGGTTTTGGATTATAAGCTAAAGGAGAGCACGAAAGAAAGTTTAATCTTGGCTTTTTTAAGAAAATAGGTGTACAGATGTTTACCTTTAGGGTTTGTATAGGGAAGAAGATTTTTTGTAGCTTTCTCCACAAAGTCTTTGGTGGTGAATTTGCCCTATTATAAGCAGATCGCACTTGAATTAGAGTTTTTGGTTATCTGATGCTTCGCAACGTTAAGTTCATACCTGGAAAGTCTCAATACTCAGTAGAGCCTGGAGATCGGGAGCCAGGTCGAATGGGTTTGGCATGTTTGCTCGTTAGATATTAAATCTTCAGAAAGGGCACACACTTAATAACTGCTCCAATTGATTCAAATGCACAGATCTTGCGCGGGGAAAAGTAAACGACGAGAACCTTTCAAGGGTCTGTGTTACAACACGTGCTCTTGTGAATCCACAGAATTTTCTGCCCGATCGACTGATTGATGAACTCAATCTTCCGTTGTGAGGATACACGCGAATGAGTGTGAACCCGCAGGACGATAATTTTGAATTCGTTCAAACTCCTTCGCATTCCTTGTGTTGTCCAGTGTAAAGTATAAAGTATCAATAAATATGCTTTAATCACGACTAGTAGATAAATTAATTTATATACATCGACTTTGTGTAGTTGTCATGATGTATGTCGGGAACCATTGATTACGCATGTGTGCAATCACTCGTTCTGTGCGTCATGTATATTTCAAAGCCTGGATATTGAAGCCTGTTGTCCTTTGTGTCGATCGAGACTGAAAATCGAAGGTAGACTGTTGTATTGCTGCGCAATTCATTGATATAGTTGCATTCTTTTCTTCGTAATTGAAGTACTTGTGACAATTTTTTTATGCCTCCCTCTTGAATATGCTCATTCTTTTTCTTAATTACTTTATCTAGATCTTCATCCAAATCTAGCTCTAGCTGGAATAATACAAGAGTTACAAGTTTACTGTAGCAACAAGAAATATGGATGCCCAACTGCTGTCAGATTGGACTCTTACCACCATCATATGATGTATTGTACATATTCGCCCACGGTTTGCGATAATTCAAACTATGGATGTGACTTTAAAGGTTGCTTTGCTTGTACAAGATTACTTGATGACCTATGTTGGTGATGCTGGTAATGTTGCTAACATGCTTAGGATATTTAGGCACGGCTGTATCAGTAAAGGAACACATGCAGACATGTATATTTGAGAAATTAAAGGTATACATCGACAGTAACAATACAAAATTAGAAAAATTGGAGAAGATAGTGATGGTATGTCAACTATAAGTGATATATGTTGAATTTGAGATAGTGCCTCTTCTCAGTCCCATTGATCAAAATTTAATTGCTAAGGATCAACAACAAGAAATTAGCAAATTACGTCGATTGATAAAGGCTTCGAAATTTAATATGCTGGTAAGCAGATGAATAGAGTCTCAGATGTCAACAGCTTTAATATATAATTGGTGTTTGTATGTCTCCAGTTTTACATTTTAGCATTTTCAAGCCATCAGCAGATGACGTTGCAGCTATCCAAGACGGTATAACAGATGACCCTGCGATAGGTGACGAGGATGAAGATGTATATCTTGGGTTGAGTGTATGTTTCACCAACAAATCCTTTTCTTTTTTATTCTAGTTAAATTATAATAATTACCCATTTTGTGCAACAGTCGTTTCCACATGGTGATATTGCATGTCAGCGCACGATTTCGCAACACAAATGTGGTGTAACGTCATTAGCATTCAGCAGAGGATTGATTTATGCAGGTGCACATGATGGATCCACAAAGGTAAGTTGAAAAATCATCAGAATGGCTGGTGACTATTCACAAATTCATCATCGATTTCTCCATGGCTGTAGATATTCAATGCAGACACCGGACAAATGATTAAAGACCTAAATGGTCATCAAGTATCAGTGTGGGCTTTGGCTGTGTGTCATGAAACCGAGCGTTTCTTTAGTGCTGGCTCAGATGGTGTGATAAAGGTATGTTTAACAAATGTTGGCTCTTGTAATTATCTACAATCGGACAGGTTCGAATTTTAATCTCTCTTCATCATTTTCCAAGGTATGGGATTGGAATTTCAACCAACCTAACGCATGTGTGAAGACATTGACCCAACATTCTGGCAAAATATATGGTATGGTTGTATCAGGAAATAAGTTGTTTTCGGCTTCTTCAGATAAAACCGTGAAAGTATGGGACCCAATAACATTGGAGAACTTGGCGACATTCACGGGTCATACTGATGGGGTAAATAACCTGATCGCAATAGGAGATGATAAATTAGCTACTGCTGGTAGTGACAGCACTGTTAAGGTATATTGAATCTTATTCGTTATATGATCTGGCTTAGCATTAAGAATTCGACCGCCATCTAATAATTGCGCGTCTATTACCCCATTCACATACGTTTTTATGAGACAGATTTGGGACGTCACTACAGGCACTTGTATACACACTATTTCGTGCAATTCATCAGAGGTCCTTGATGTTGCCTTTGGCGACAATATGCTGTTTGCATCTACAAATGATGCTGTTATACATGTGTATAATATAAATGACAATCATTCAACAGCAATATCTACACTAGCTGGCCATAACTGGGAGGTATGGCAATTAGAGTATACTATTGGTGCTTTGTTCAGTGCGAGTTTTGACCATACTATTAAACGGTGGGACGTGAGAAATCGTATGATTTGCAATGCAACATTAAAGGGACATCAAGGTAAGTTGGATCGGTAATATGCAAAAAAAAAAAAAAAAAAAAAAAAAAAAAAAAAAAAAAAAAAAAAAAAAAAAAAAAAAAAAAAAAAAAAAAAAAAAACAACAACATATGAAGCTATGATGCAACGGTGTTAGTAATACCACACATGTACTTGTATAGGATTTGTTCATGCAATGACACTTGGACATCACAATCTGATAACTGGTTGTGCCGATCGCACTATCAAAGTGGGCATATATACTTGTTTGAGTGCATTGTATGGTATCTACGCAGAGCACTAATCCCTCTTTTGTATATTGTTAGATCTGGCAGTCATAGCATCCAGGAGGCTGAAGTTTGTCGGGCAACCAATTATCTAAAGTAGAGGCGAGAGGGGGATCGGGCAAAAAGCATTAGATGGGAAAAATAGATTTAAATATCCATGTAACAGCATAGTACTTGTGACATTAGTTATGTAATAAACTGGTGAGTTTCTGGGCATGCCATTATAATTACACAAAGAGAAATATATTGAACTGTACAAACGGGATACAAATGTCATTATCATTGGTATTAGCATAATAATAACACTAATGTGATTCAATGATGACATCATCACTATAGGACTTTATTGATAAATAAGCAACCTCTATTTATATGGATTCCCGGCAATGATCGCAAAGTCCATTGGTATAGTTTCACTTGACAAGCTTATCAACAATCTAATAATATATCGACATTTTTACAATGATTTTTTACCCCCTTCCTCCCCTCTTCGATTTCATTTAATGATACGAGCATCAACTCATCCGGAAACGAACAGCAGATGCGTACGAGAAAAAGTCCTTTCTGCTGTATTATCGTCTGTAATCGTTACTCGTGGATTCCGTCCAGCATAAACTTTCTCAATAAAGTCAAGTAGCAGAACTGGTACTGCCGTAGAGTCTGAACCATTCTCATTCTCTGCTCTCTGAAGAACCCTATTATATGAAATACAAGATCCATCGAATCATCATCCATTGCTGGTAATAAAGCCATCACGCTATCAACAGTACAGAATGTGCCAGTTCGACCAACTCCTGCACTGCAATGAACTACAACAGGTCCAACAGCATCCGGTGGAGTGCGAGCGTTATTTTCATCGGCATGCAATTGTTGTAGTTCGTTTGTCTTGGAAATTAATAGCAAAAGTGCATCTGGAGAATCAGGCACTCCATGATCAGACCATCCCATAAAGTGTAACTGGGTAATTCGACGAGTTTTAGAAGGCTGTCCGCTATTATCATCATCTTTCCTGGTAAGGGTTATACTACGCATAACGGATGATATACTCGGATCTAAAACCTCTGACTCGAGAGTAACTGTCATTCCAATGTCATCAAAATTAAAAGATTTATCCTTCTCGGGCCAATACCTCGTGCATTTTGGCAAATTCTTCTCCCGTTCTTGCGTCAACATTACTACCACCCCACAATTCTGCTCCCATACCATCAACCAAAAATCATCAATTGTCTTTGATAACGGTCCTTGAGCCGCAATGTATCGCCTTATCTTCCCAGGAGCATCGAGATAACTAGCATTGATATAGTCTGTCTTTCCCGATGAGAGTTTCACGCGTGAGTGGTTGTACGGCATTATATCCATGTATCTGTTAAATGGACCAGCAGCCTTGCTACTGGCGATTGTGAGGGAGAAACGACTATCTTTATCATTTGCGTGTTTTGAACGTTCATTATCTTCAGACTCGAGTTTGCGAAATTTTCCTTGCAAAGTCTGGGGATTTGCGTTTTGAACGTCTTTAAGAAAGCGCGGGATTTGACGAGGGGAAGAGTTCATATTCGTTGACATCCTATGAAGGTGATATTTGCAATGTAATGAGGGGCGGAGATGACTCGCTGAGAGTGATGTCATTGGTCTGTGACTGACTGTGGAGGAAAGTCACACGTTTGATCAGATAACTGAAGTCAACGGTAATAGTAATATAGATAAGTCACAAGACACTTTATAATTCTCTGGATAAAACAAAACGAATTGTAAACCATAAATAGTTCAGATGTACATAAATTAACTAACTACCCTAATACCTAAGCAGTTTAAATTCTAGGTCTTTTTCGGCCTAAACTGCTATACTAAAATTATATGACATAATATATATATATATTTTTATACCGCAATTACCCCTCCTATGATATGACACAATCTGTTTCTTGATTACATCTTAAGCATCTATTATATTCTGCTGGAAAAGACGTCCGGCAAGATGAAAAACTATTCCCTCCCCATGTCTGCCAAAAACCAAATTTTGTACCATTTACTGTACCATTTGCCTAAATGGTACTACTACTTGAAGTCGGCAAGCATAGCATTGCATCATAGTAAAATACCTAATATCATCGCACTCATCACCTTAGATTTGCTATTCTTCATTTAAAAGGAGAAATTTTTGGGTACCACCATCTTCATTTCTAAGAAAGAATATAATAGGACATATGCGCTGTGTGATTCGGATATACGCTGTAGATTCCCCATACGACCACGAAGTGTAATATCCCGATTACATTCTCCAGTTTCATTGCTATCGTCTCCCACTATAATAGCAGCAATCTGCGAAGTACTTGGAATATTATAGCATCGTGAATCTGTTTCTCTAGAATCTTTAATTATTATCGAGATGAATATGCTGTAGTATCATGCCTGTTTGCTGAAAGACTTGCACATATGGGTTAGTATTATGTATACAAAAAGTATAAGAGCCTGTTATTCCAGTGATATTATTCGCGCCCTGTTGTGATCTACTATTCGATTGATGCTTCGACGTGCAGCCTCTCTTCTTAATTTACGTCGCTGTTTGTTAAAGGTTTCATTATTAATATTATTCATAATTCCTTGGCAAAATAAAAATTTGTATTGTATATAGAGTAAGTTGTGAAGATAAGGCGAACAAGCAAAACTACTCACTATATTTATATTTTTCATGATGTACTTTTATGTTATACGGTATGCAATAGCGTTGCGCAAATATGCAATATCCGTCGACTTTAGACCAGCAACTGGCCGATTTTCATTAATATATATTTCATGAGGTCGCGCTTTTGCATTGCTGGCACGAAGAGTGGACTTGGGGTTGATTATTACGTTCACCTGACACAAAAGTCGTTCAAATGTTCTTTGACGTACCCAAACAAGAGACACTCAACATATCATGTTGCTTACATATAAATAATACAAATATAATAATACATTATACAACCCATATTCTAATTAAATTGTAATTCAAGTATTGTTGTCTAAACTACCTCCCTTACTCCTCGTAAACCTCCCCTAACTTTACCTCTAAACTTGGCAAGCTGAAATCTGATAAGGGAGGTAACTGAGTTTCTTGGTCCACATTCACATTGTCATTTCTGGTAGATGGATCAGCTGCAGTGGGTGGTGCAAATTTGCCACTTTGCTAAGTGTATCCAGAAACAACACAAAGAATCCTGTCCATTTACCTTGCCTGCTGATCTGTCGCAGAGCTCTTCGAAAGATGAGAATAATTTCTTGGTTTAGGCAGATGTCCAGTAGGTAAGAACGTACTAGAATATTTACTCTCCTTCTCAAGACGCGATAACGGTTTTACATCATTATGATAAACGGCATTCCACGTGTTGTCATCAGGATTATCATCATCCAGAAGCTTCTCAATATCATAATAAAGTGTCGTTACATCTGGACGCTTATCAGGATCGGCATCACAACACCGCTCGGCAAGTTTCTTGTATTTCTCTGGTGTCGAATCAGGCATTGATGGTCGTGATTTACTTTTTAATAAATAATGTATCGTATTTTCTTACATAGTCAAATGATCTACCCAGCTAACACGCACGATTTTATTTCGGGCATCTCTTTAACTCAACCATATTGACATACACGGAAGCATATAGTATAATTGGAAGAGGAGTAAACATTCGAATAAACTGTCGTGAATTACAAGTTTATTCAAAAAAGAGTTTGAGTATCTAAATTATAAGAAATGCACGGTGTTAATATCGATATTGTAAATTGACTTTATTTGTACCAACGTGTTACCATACCTGCAGCTGAATCCATATCATAGCTATTTCTTGGTTTAGGCAGATGTCCAGTAGGTAAGAGCATACTAGAATATTTACTCTCCTTCTCGAGACGCGATAACGGTTTTACATCATTATGATAAATGACATTCCACGTGCTGTCATTAGAATTGTCCTCGTCAATCTCATCAATAAGCTTGATAATATCATGATGAAGTCTCCCTGCATGTGGACGCTTATCAGGATCAGCATCACAACACCGCTCGGCAAGTTTCTTGTATTCCTCTGGTGCGGAATCAGGCATCG